ATCTGCATTTCTGAAGAGCTTCCAGGTGCTGCTGCTACCCATGGTCCTTGGGCCATACCCACAAGCAAGAACAGGGAGGACTGGAGCTGGAGAGGCCTATAGGAACCTCACGTTGAACTGTCTTGCCTTGTGAATTCCCAGTTTCTCTTTGTATGGGAGGGATGGCAGGAACTCCGGTTTTGCTGGCTTCTGGCCTCTCAGGGCTCCTGCTCTATTGCTCCCAGTGAGTCTTACCTACAGCTCAGGTCCCTTATGGGTGGGCGGGACAGTTGGGAACAGAGTTTGGAGGTAAGCCTGTTTTTTATGATACTTATCACAATCTTAAATTATTTTCTGCTTTTTCAGCAGTGCTTACCTGCCCTTTCCCAGTACTAATCACAGCCTCATCCTGGTCTTAGCACACCCAGCTGGACTTGACCAGGTCTATGGCTGTTTTGGGCAGTACAGTAGAGTAAATACAGCTGCAGGTCCCCCAAAACATCTTTGCCCTACTTCTCATTGGTTCCAAAGCTAGGAGTGCTTGGTAGAGAAGGAAGGGATAAGACTGCCTTCCAGGGAAACAAGACTTGGGGGGGCCATAATGCCTGGTGTGGTACAGCATTTTGATCCAGGCCTCCCCTCATAGCAGTTCTTTCACCCTTTTCCTTATGGTGGTATTACCCAGAAGCTTCCTTACCTATGGAGGAAGAGTACATATGGGCATGTGGTGGTGGGACCAGGCATGACTCAGCCCCAAATAAGCAGCATGAAGTCTCCAGTAGGGCTCTTAGGCATTTCAGGATGGGATTGGGGAAGTCACTGGACAGGGGTGGATGCCATCTCCCTCACTGTAGACCTGAGCAGTAGAGAAAGAAGAGAGCAGCCCAGGTCCTCATCACTGCATAGACTAATGCAAGTCTATGAACCCAAGTGTTTATTTCATAGAAGCCTCCACAAAGGGAGGGATGAGCTCCTGGCATTCATGGAGGCTGTTGCTTTCCAGGACGGTCTGGGAGAAGAGCCAGGAGTGTTGGCCAGCATCCAGGTTCTGGCTAAGATTACATGGCTGGGCTTGCCCAGAGCATTGAGCCCCACCCACCACCAGCCCATACCTAGAGGGGCAGGGCAGGAGGTCACCAAGCCTAGGGGATGTTCTCAGAGGAGTAACAGGTGGGGCCCCCCAAAGCTGCATGACGGGGACCCACCTTATTGCTTCTGGTGAAGGAGCTAGGCCTGTTTCCTCAGTGAATTCAGGAGAATGCAGCCCAGGTAAGATCCTGCTGTGGACAGGTCGTCAGTACTGGAAGTTGGAGGCAGCCACCCCCTCCTCTGAGTAGCTCACAGCCAGGCCCTCTGTGAGTGGCATCCCTGGCCCTGCCTGGGAGGAAGGTGGGGATAGATTGATCTCCAGAGTCAGGCTGAAGCTCCTCACTCTACTACCTACTTGCTCTTGTCACCTTAGGCAAGTTTCTTAACCCCCAAGAATTTTTTCTGATAACTTTTTCCAACTGGAGATGGAGATAAAGCTTTTCATAGGCCTATGGGAGGCTTCAGTGATACCAGACCTGTTCATCCCCTCTCCCCCAGCAGCTCATCTCACATGGCAAATGAGATTGCTCAGGCCCTGGTGGACAGTGAGAAATGAGCAAGGCTTCATGGAGGGTAGGACTCTAGGCCAGGGGTACAGGGAAAACAGACGTGCTTGTGGCTGGGCTGGTTGTTAAATCTAGTCCTGGGGCTCTTCTGAATCCTGAAGTGCTTCATCCCTTCTAGGCAATCTCTCCCTGTGGTTTGGGAGGGGCTGCCCCTTGCAGCCACATCTATTGGGTCCATACCTGGAGTATGATGTGACCATTGTAGTGGGTTAATGTTGGTTTGGGAATAGGACCAATGCTGTCATCAGATTCAGGTTTGCGGGCAGTGGTGGCATGTTTGGGGCCCTTTGTGACACTAGTCAGATGTGCTTAAGCCTCTGGGGTGTGGAATCTGTCTAGTGACTGCTTTGCCCAGCAGTGCCCTGGCATGATATATCTCTCCTACTTGGCAGTGGTACTCCAAATAGGGAGTGATTGGCCCTGCTCTCTCAATGCCAGCTGGAATGTTCCTTCGGGGTGGTTAAGGTAGAAGATGTTTGCAGTTTGGTTATTTGAAATGGGCTAGGCAGGAGCTTCTCTTAAGTCTCTCAGGCCTCCAGCAGGAAGTGCCCTTCTGGGGAAAGTGAGGAATGGAAAGTGAGGAATTCCCTTATAGGGAGTTGGGGTGAGATGAGAAGGTTCTCTGGAGGGCTGAGCAGCGAGAAGGGTTTTCTTTGCTGGCCTTTACCCTTTTTTCAGGGCTCCTGATGGTGTGAGGCAGGAGGAATTCCAGTCCAGGTGCCCGGGGTTGCCTCCAGGAGGGCTCATTCCTGCCTGCAGGGATCAAGCATTGAGTAGGAGAAGGGTGAGGAGTATCATGTGGCCTGAAACCACACCCTGAGTTTGATCACCATGGGCCAGGAGGTGGGCGTGGGGGGTATGCTTTTGTCCCAGAGTCAGGGCTGCCAACTTGGTGTCTAGAGAGAACCACAGAAAGGCCCAGTAACTGGAGCAGTTCTGAGTGCACAGCTTCTGGAGGCAAAGGCTCTGGGCAAGGTGGGTGTTCAGGCTGAGTAGGGGCAGCAACCATTGGAGTGGGGTTGTAGTTCTTGTTTTTTTGCTTGGGCAAGGATTGCTTTCCTTTTAAAGCCTCCTTCCGTATCCTTGGAAAGATTTTAGGTTACAGCAAGTTCTCTTGCCCATTGTAGGGTGTTAGAAAAGTGTGAAGTGGCCTGGTTCAGCCCTATTCCTCCCCACCCCCCACAAATAGCCACTGAATCTACATGGGTTGATAGTGCTGGACCCTGAGGCAGTTGGGGTCTTGTCTGCCATGGGATTGTGTGTGGTACATCCCCCAGTGGAGTGTAAGAACACAGTGAGGTGAGTGTGGGAAGCCACAGGTCCTGTCTTCTGCCTTCCTCATTGATCAGTTGGATGGTATGTGCACAAATCAAGGAACTTGGGGAAGTATGGAATCTGAAGAATGTCCTGGGTCTGCCCTCTTTCCAAAGGCATAAACAGAGGCTTATTTATTCAGGAAAGCATAAATATAAATATATATATATATATATATATATATATATATATATATATATTTTTTTTTTCCCTCCAAGGGAGAATGCGGAGTATCTCCAGAGGGAGAGATAGTCAGGGCTGGGTCTTTGATTATCCTCTGGAAATGTACTGAGGGCCAGCCAGGTAGGAACCTGAAGTGATAGGGACCTCTCACTTTAGTAGTTGCTCTGCCTGTCTGATCTTGCTTCCCTTGTGCCCTTTGGTTCAGTGCTAGAAGCTGAACTGGCATCACTGGGTGGGCTAGAAACCAGCAGTGGGAGAGTTTACCCATGTCCATGGCTGCAAATGATTCAATTCAGGCTTTCTTTACTTGTGGGGAGGTAAGATGTGGGATGGAGGCTTGCCTGGATTGCATTGAAGATGAGAGGGGTGTCTACCTTGTCACATGGGAGGGCAGTACATAGGTTTCTGGGTTGCTGAGTCCACTAGGGTCAAATGAAAAGGGCACACAGTAGCACCTACTAAAGGTTAGTTGGTGTAGTGTCCAAGAGGAAGGAGAAGCATTGTGCTCAGATGGAATGTTGTAAAAAGCTCTCTTTGGAAGTTTTGTTTTGTTTTTTTTTTTTACTGGGGATTGAACCCAAGGAGTACTGTACTACTGAGCTACATCCCCATTCTTTTTATTTTTTGAGATACGGGTCTTGCTAAATTGCTCAAGCTTGCCTTAAACTTGACATCCTTCTGTCTCAGCCTCCCAAGTTGCCAGGATTACAGGCTTTGTGCCACCATGCCCTGCCTTAACATAAGCTTTGAGAGTGCATCTACTTCACCCAGTCTCCCAACAAGATAGAGCTGCTCTTGCTAAAAACGTTCCTCCTCTACAGTCCTCAGTTTGCCTCTCAGAGTCTGCTTTGATATAGTTACTGACCAGATTGTTTTTTCCTGTTCTAGAACTTGATATAAATGGAGTCAACTAGTCTGTTTTTTTGTTTTGTTTTTATAGTGCTGGGGAGAGAACCCAGTATCTCATGCATGCTAGGTAAGCACTGAGCCACATCCTCAGCTCAAGTTAAGTGTTCTGATTTTTTTTTTTAAAGAGAGAGAGTGAGAGAGAGGGGGGGGGACAGAGAGAGAGAGAGAATTTTAACATTAATTTATTTTTTCTTAGTTCTCCGCGGACACAATATCTTCATTTGTATGTGGTGCTGAGGATCGAACCCGGGCTGCACACATGCTAGGCAAGCATGCTACCGCTTGAGCCACATCCCTAGCCCCAAGTGTTCTGATTCTTGAATAAGACTTCTTCTACTCTGTCAAATACTGAGATTCATCCATGTTTGGGTATCATTCTGCCCCCTTTTTTTCTCCTTTCTTTTTTAAAAATAATATCTACTTATTTGCTGGTTGCAGTGCTGCATGCTGTAATCCCAGTGCCTCAGGAGGCTGAAGCAGGAAAATTGAGTTTCAGTTCAGCCTCAGCAACTAGTGAGACCCTGTCTCAAATAAAAAGGGCTAGGGAGATAACTTGATGGTAAACTGCTCCTGGGTTCAACACCTGGTATGGGGGGTAGTAATACTCATTTTAAATATATGACACAGAAATGAACATACAGATGGTTCTTGACTAATTGTCTCTCTCTCTCTCTCTGGTAGGGGATTGAACTCAGGGGCACTCAACCACTGAGCCACATCCCCAGACCTTTTTTTGTATTTATTTAGAGATAGGGTCTCCGTGAGTTGCTTAGCGCCTTGCTGTTGCTGAGACTGGCTTTGAACTTGGATCCTCCTGTCTCAGTTTCCTGAGGTTCCTAACTTATTTTTTTGTTTGTCTTATAACTTCTTTTTTTTTCTTAATTTTTATTGGTGCATTATAATTATATTAATGAATTTTGTTGTAATTGACAACAAATTTCTGCTTTATGATGGTACAAAAGTAATAAAGCATTCAGTAGAAATTATGCTTTAAATTTTGAATTTATATATCCTGGGCTATCAATAATGTGATATGCTCCCTCTCTTACAGTGCTGGGCAGGGGCAAGAGCCATAGCTCCTGGTCAACCTAGTGATTACAAAGGAAAACCACTGATGCTCTATAGTGTTTTATGTTGCTAAATTGTGGTGTTTAATAATGTAAGTGGATTAAGTTTATGATTTTTTTTAAAGAGAGAGAGAATTTTTTTTTTTAACATTTGTTTTTTAGTTTTCGGTGGACACAACATATTTGTTTGTATGTGGTGTTGAGGATCGAACCCGGCCGCACACATGCCAGGCCAGCGCGCTACCGCTTGAGCCACATCCCCAGCCCCTAAGTTTATGATGTTTTTAACAATGGTTTTATTGGAATGTGACCCATCATAAGTCAAGGTACATCTGTGCAGTCTAGTTTGGATAATCCCATTCCCCAGAGATAATCTCATTTTGCAGTTGGGTGTGCATTCCCCAAGGTGGGACTTGCTGGGTTGGATGGGGCCAGAACTTCCAGAATGGATGCCTTGTAGGAGGGTGGACAGGGGTCTGTGGGGTAGAGTTGGGAGTTCTGGTGGCTCCCTGGCTTAGCTCTACAGCCCTGGCTCCAGTCAGGCATGTGCTGCCAGTGGCTTGAAAGACTAGGGTATCTCAATGCTGTGCCAGCCAGTCTGGGTCCTGGGCCTCCCTTCATTGTGCGGGATGGGCCTTCTACACTGTGATATGAATGGGGAGGGGAGGAAAAGGAGGGTAGGTGGGTATTGACCATTCATCCCACCAACACAATCATATGTCTGTCTAATCAGGGTTCTGGGAACATATCCCAGAGTCTTTTTATTATTTCCACCATACCTTCTATGTTCATGGGAGAGTGAACTGGCCTGTGCCTGCTGAGGTCAGCCTGGCCAGGATCCACCCATAGGGGTAACCTGGAGTTGAGGGTTCCTAACCAAGGAGGGAGTTGCTGTGCTGTTTCACCTCTTCCTGACCTTCTCCTAGGTACCCTGAAGGTTCTGTCCTTTGGAGGGGCTAGGTGGTAGCCTTAAAAGAGTACCTGGACAGCAGTAAGATCCCAGGCCTGCTATGCCTCTGCCCCAGATCCTGGGCATCCTGGAAGCCAGCATTCTGGCCAGCAATGGGTCTGGGCTGGATGTGCTGTCCTTGGGATTGATAGGCACACTGCCTGGGCCTGCTGCCAGAGATTGCTAAGTGCCAACCTGTCCTCCCTCTGCCACCTGTCTGTGACTCCTGCCAGCACAGGGCATCAGCCCTTGAACTGAGGTTTTCCTGGGATGGTGGTGATCCTGGTGCTGTTTCCAGGTCCTTGACACTCCCACAGTTTATGGCCTTTTCATGATAACTGTTTGCTGCTGCTGTGCCTTTTGGAGAGTGGATAGAGTGGGGATCTCTGGCCATCTTCATTTGGGTAGGGAAGAAAAGAGCAATGCTTTGTAGACTTATATACAGCAGTATATAAGTCTATATGGGTATATAGCAGGGTGTTATATATATGGGTAATACAGCAGGATGGTATGTGGTCCTCTCTTAGGAGGTGAGGATATGTTGTCTCTTGTAGGTATAGTTGATGGCCCAGACTGGCAGGCTGAGAGGGCAGCTTTGTGCTTGCTGTGAGCTCTAAACGGGAGGGTCCCCCTCCCCCTGTGAAGAGCATTTCTGGTGGAGGGTACAGGAAGTTAGCCTTGTCCCTTTCTGCTAGGTGTCACATCTAACTCAGCCTGGGGTCCTCTCCTTCCCTGACTTGGAATTCAGTTAATCAGCCTAACCTGGGTTAGTGAAGTACCTGGCAGGGCCAGGTAGTAGGCACCCAGAGGGCATTCCTACCCCCAAGGTGCTCAGTTGTCCCAGAGTCCTCTATTTTGTCATTTACTCCCTGCATAGTATCTAGTAGCTGGCCTGAACTCTGCTACAGACAGATTCATCTGGTGAGTGAATGTTGGCAGGGCTCTGGCTGATCCCAGATATGAGGAAAGCCAGGCAAGGAGCAGGTTAATTGACCCAAAGGTATCTAGCAGATTTGAATGCTAGCCTTGACTTCCTGTTAGTCTTCAGGTCCACTCTTCACCAACCATTGTTTTGGTGGTCTCCACTCCCTTTCCAAAGCTGTGCTCCGCCCCATTCCTTTTACAGAGACTTAACAGCTACTTTTGGGTGAGGGGTCCAGCCCTAGTTATCATTAAAGAGTTCTTGGCTCCCAGACCTCTGTATTTTCAGAATTGGTTCAGCTGCCCTCAGGGCCTTTGGTGGGATCCTGGGCCAATCTTATTCACCTCCTGCCAGTCCCCCTCCCCCCCAGAGGGGAGCTGCATGGGGAGACAGCTGGTAGCCTGAAGCCTAGCCTCCTGGCTGAGGCCTGCACCCCGGGTCTGGTCACATTCCTGAGGGACCTGCTGAGCCTCCCTGGCCCTGGGGGTGGCGTGGGGGAAGGGCAGGCAGGGATGGGCTCCAGACTATTGCAGGCCCCCTCCCCCACCCCTGGCTCCATTCCAAGAGAGCCCAGTCTGGCCTGTGGGGTGCAGGGACTCAGAACCTTAGGATCCCTCTCCTGCGGGACCCAGAGCTCTGAGGGGGAGAGGGAGCCTACTCTTATCTGACTGCACTGCCAGCAGCTTCTGCAGGAGGCTGGTATTGAAAGACTGAGCCTAAGGCTGGGACAATCCCTCAAGCAGTAAAACCTCCTGAGAGGGAAGGCCCTTGTGATTAGGCTGGGCAGGAAAGGGCTGGGCCCTCTAGGCCTAGAGGGGGCAAGAGCACATCTGAGAGGGAAGCAGGGGAGCCAGAGCGGTTGAGACTGGTTCTTATAAATAGCCCTTGCACAAGTGGCTTCAATTTTGACCTTTTGTTATGTAAATGTGACCAGCCTGGGAAGGACCTTGCCCAAGCCTCCTTGCCATCTCATCTGCTTGTCTGAAATTGTATCCCTGCCACCAGCATCCCAGGTCTAGGTGGCCCCTGAGGTATCCTAAATCTCCAGGGTATATGTGTTGGTGGATAGATAGTGCCCACCTGGCTTCTCAGATCTTGTCTTTTAACTCCTCACTTTCCCTGCCATTGGGTGTTACTATAGGGCACCACAGTCCTGCTTGGCTGCACCTGGGTGTTCTAGCCAAAGACATCCTTCAGACCTTTCTGAAAATGAAGGATCCAGGGTCACCAATTGCCTCTCCTTCATGATCCCACTCTTCCCCCCCTTCCCTTGCTGATGTGTGAGTAACTGTCTGTCTTCTCCCCCAGATGACCAGGCGTTGATGTACCCTCAGGAAGTCCACGCGCTCAAGGAGGCCATCCCTGCTGGCTGCTGCTCACATGGTTTCTGGGCCCCTGGCACTCCGGTAGGCTGAAATGGAGACTTGGGGAAGGGAGAGCAGCACCTGTTCTTTGTCCTTGGGGTTTTCTGGGCAGCTTACACAGCCCTGGCCTCTGTTCTGGCCTTGAAGTCTTTTGGGTTCATTCAGTTCAGGACAATGTCAAAGGAGCCCGGGGCCCACTGCCCAGGATTGGGGGGGTTGTTGTGAATGTGTGAGCTCTCCTGCCTTTTGCTTGTTCTCTTGCTAAACTTGGGGCACTAGGTATGCTGGGGACTGTCAAAGTGTCACTGGCTTTGCCCTAGGGCCCAATGTGGAAGGTATGCCTTGGGTTCTTTGTCTCTGCCTAGTAGGTTAGGGGAACAAGGAGTGGACAGTTAGTTCCTGACTGAGCCCTTTGACAGGTGCTTGCTGTGGAGCTCTTGAGTGTTATTTTTGGGGGCATGTCACACCCATGTTCACTCACAGTGAGGTGTGGATCTGGGAAGAGCATTTGTGTTATGGGAGGGGAGGACAGGCTGTAGTAGGCATGACTGCTTCCAGGACTCTGTTCCTGTGTGAGACAAAGCTGGGAGGGGTGGGAGCACAAACACCTGGTGCTGGAAAGGTTTAGAGCTGTTCAGCTACTTACAGAGACTGTACCCTTAACAGCAGGCACAGAACTGCCTTGGGATGATCATTTCTTTCCTTCTGGGGCCCATTGTATACTTCCTTGCCTTTGTTTTCCCTGTGGGGTGCCTTGCTTGGCAGAGAAACTGCTCAGGTTGGGAGTCTGGTTGGACCTCATGAGCACACACTGCACCAGTGGGCTGATAAGTTCCTGTGGAGACTAGAGGCATCTGTGTGTTTATTACTTAATGACCTCAATTAGTGTTTGTGCCAGCCCATCTAGCAGGGGCCAGCTGGCTACCTTTCCCAGTCACAGACAGTTATGGCCCTTAGAAAGGGTGCAGGGTTTAGGGGCTGGGGGTAGTGCCCCAGTGCTTGCCCCAACAAGGTCCTTCTCAATGTAGGTGGGCTCTGCAAAGACCAGAAGCCATGGGAGAGACCACAGTATGGTGGTGGTGGGTGGGAAGCAGGATTGGTACTCTTAGCACATCAGAAAGCCTGAGCCACCTCTTAAGAGGTACCCCAGTGTAGAGTAGAGGTTTCAGACCAGCAGATGTGTTTGATTTGGCCACACAGTATTTTTAAAAGAAACCTTTTTCTAATAGAGGGAGATGACTATGAAAATCTGAATTTCTAACTTGTCTAGAAAGTTGAAAACAGCCCTGTGGACCTGCATGCTCCAGAGGGCTAGGTCTTTTTTTTTTTTTTTTTTTTTTTAAAGAGAGAGAGAGAGAATTTTAATATTTTTTTTTTAGTTTTTGGCAGACACAACATCTTTGTTTGTATGTGGTGCTGAGGATCGAACCCAGGCTGCACGCATGCCAGGCGAGCACGCTACGGCTTGAGCCACATCCCCAGCCCCGCTAGGTCTGTTTTACCATGGGCTCTAGCTCCCCTACAGAGGCCTCTGTTCTTCAAATTCCATATCCACCTGCTAGTCATTTTGGGTTCCCTGCTTGTCCATGTGGGCCTGTGATTGACTTCTTTTAGTGTGGAAATAGTAGCCTATGTTCTGAAGTCAAATTCAGACCCCAGTTTTTCTGCTTGGCACCCTCCTTGCTTCATTTTCTCATCAGTGCAAATAGGTGTGGGGGAACGCTGTGTCCTTTCTCAAACAGTTTAAGTCTTTAATGAGGTGATCTGTATGTACAGTGCCTGCACACAGCAGGATTGAGTTTCTTCTCTGCCTAAGGGGGTAGGACTGAGTGCAGGTCTCAGCTACCTGGTTAGTGCATAATTCCTTGAGTACCATCCAGAGTTCCACTGTGCTCTAGGACCCTGTAGTGAGTTAACGTGTATGCCTGTTCTTGCCTACAGGTGGTGTGCGTGGGCAGGGCGTGGGGACATGGGGCCCGACATGGAGCTGCCCAGCCACTCAAAGCAGCTCCTGCTACAACTGAACCAGCAGAGGACCAAGGGCTTCCTGTGTGATGTCATCATCATGGTGGAGAACTCAATTTTCCGGGCCCATAAGAATGTTCTGGCTGCCAGTAGCATCTACTTCAAATCCCTGGTCCTGCACGATAACCTCATCAATCTGGACACAGACATGGTCAGCTCCACAGTATTCCAGCAGATCCTGGACTTCATCTACACAGGCAAGCTGCTGCCCAGTGACCAGCCAGCTGAGCCCAACTTCAGCACTCTTCTCACTGCCGCCAGCTACCTCCAGCTGCCTGAGTTGGCAGCCCTCTGCCGCCGCAAACTCAAGCGAGCTGGCAAGCCCTTTGGCTCTGGACGGGTTGGGGCTGCTGGCATGGGGCGACCATCCCGTAGCCAGCGGCTATCCACAGCCTCTGTTATCCAGGCTCGGTATCCAGGGCTTGCGGACGGGCGCAAAGGAACCCACGCCCACCAGGAGCTCCCACCAGCCAAAGGCTCAGATGATGAGCTTTATCTCAGTGGCTCCACCCAGGAGAGCACACATAGCCTGGGCCGGGGGGTCTGCCCAACCAGTGGAGAGGTAGGCCTAGGGGGCTGCAGTAGCAGCACCAATGGAAGCACTGGGGGCTGTGAACAGGAGCTGGGCCTTGACCTGTCCAAGAAGAGCCCACCCCTGCCCCCCACAACTCCCGTACCCCACCTCACCCCTGATGATCCAGCCCAGCTGAGCGACAGTCAGCAGGACTCACCACCTTCGGCCTCTGCCCTTCCCATTGCCAATAGTGCCTCTTATGCTGAGCTGGGAGGCACCCCTGATGAGTCCATGGATCTGGAGGGGGCTGAGGATAATCACCTGAGTCTGCTGGAGGGGTCGGGTGGGCAGCCTCGGAAGAGCCTCCGGCATTCATCCCGCAAAAAGGAGTGGAGCAAGAAGGATCCTGTGGCTGGCTCCCCCTTTGAGCGGAGAGAAGCAGGGCCCAAGGGCCCCTGCCCTGGAGAAGAGAGTGAGGGGCTTGGGGATAGGGTTCCCAATGGCATTCTATCTGGCAGTGTTGGGGGAGGAGGCCCCAGTGGGCCCTATGGGGATCCCCCATACCCTTGCAAGGAAGAGGAGGAAAATGGGAAGGACGGGAGTGAGGACAGTGGGCAGAGTGGTAGTGAGGGGGGCAGTGGCCACCCTGGCGCCCATTACATGTATCGGCAAGAGGGCTATGAGACAGTGTCATATGGAGACAACCTTTATGTATGCATCCCTTGCGCCAAGGGCTTCCCCAGTTCTGAGCAGCTCAATGCCCACGTGGAGACACACACCGAGGAGGAGCTGTTCATCAAGGAGGAAGGGGCCTATGAAACTGGCAGCGGGGGTGCTGAGGAGGAGGCAGAGGACCTGTCGGCGCCCAGTGCAGCCTATGCTGCTGAGCCCCGGCCCTTCAAGTGCTCTGTCTGCGAGAAGACTTACAAAGACCCGGCTACTCTAAGGCAGCATGAGAAGACACACTGGCTGACGCGGCCCTTCCCTTGCAACATCTGTGGCAAGATGTTCACACAGCGTGGCACCATGACCCGCCACATGCGAAGCCACCTGGGCCTGAAGCCCTTTGCCTGTGACGAATGTGGCATGCGTTTTACCCGCCAGTACCGCCTCACTGAGCACATGCGTGTGCACTCAGGTGAGAAGCCATATGAGTGCCAGCTCTGTGGGGGCAAGTTTACCCAGCAGCGTAACCTCATCAGCCACTTGCGCATGCACACCTCCCCCTCCTAGAAGCCAAAGACCCGCGGGCACCCTCTTCAGACTCACCACTTGGGAACCCACGGAAGAAGCCAGGAGGCAAGGCAGGTGGGGCTGGGACCCTGAGGTCCAGTGAGGCTCCTATCAGCTCCTCTGACCCAGCCTCCCCACACTCAGAGCTTTAATCTCTAGTCTGTACCAAGGGAAGCCAGAGAAGCCGGCAGGCTTAGCTCCCTATGTGTGTTGCTGGTGACCATTCTACCTCCCTGTCCCATCTAGGTCACCAGCTCCCTGTAAGGGCTTCTGCAGAGCCATTGGGAGTGGGTCACATGGGTCTTACTGAGACCTGGTCCCTTTCCTGCAGGTTGGGTTGGAGAAGGGGAATAAGGGGTCCCTCTCAATGCTGGTGGGGGACAAGGCTGCCTGTAGCTGGGGTGGTATCTGGAGGAGGCCCCCCAAGCAGGGACTGGGTATGTGTGCGTGCACGTGTGCTTGTGTCTGTGTGCAGGCGCTTGTGACCCTGGCTCTGGGGAGCAGGTGCTGGGAGGACGGTTTCTCCTTCCCTCCTTGAGCCAGGGCAGCACTGCTCATTGGCGCTGGGATAGTCAGGGTGACCCCACCGCCTACCTCTACAACTAAAGAGCCCTCTGGGCCCATGTTGCTGTTATTCCTACTGATCTGTTCCTTTTTTTTTTTTTTTTTTCAATTTTGAATTCTGTTTTTTAAACCAAAACAAACAATAGTTTATTTTCTTCCTGCCCCTTTGGGGCTGAGCCTGGGTCTGCAGACTGAATGTAATTGGGGCAGCTGCTCCTCCCCATTGTCCTCCCCTAGCCCTGGTGGGCACTGTGGAACACACCAGTGAGCCCACCTCTTCAGGCCCCAGAGCCCTTTTTGCCTAAAGGCTTCCCTGGTCTCCAGTACTATCTGGGCCGCCTCAGGAGTACTTGCATTTCCTATAGTTTCTGAGGAATATTCTTTGTCTAGAGGTACTTGTTTTTTGTTAAGAGACACCCCCGTGTAACGTTTATGGGACTGTTGGAACTGGAAGATTCATGGGGTGGGGGGAGGCTAGACTCGCTGCCAGGGCTGTCGGTACTCTCATTTTTCATTTCTGTGTGTGTGGGTAAGTGTATGGTGTGTGCAGTGTGTATGGACAGATGTTTCACTTTCTTTCCTCACTGAACAAGGTGGAGAGACTTCTGACCTTTTGCTACCTCTTGAATTCATGACAACAGTATGTTGAGGCAGTTGAGGCCCGATGCTTTTGTTTTCCTCTGGTGAAGTGAGTTGGGCTCGGGCTGGCCCGAGCGTCCCTCCTGGGCCTCAATGTTCTCTGAGGGGGCACCTGCTGCTCACTGGGCCTAGGTGAGAAATATGAACTGCTCACAAGGGGCAGGTACCCCAAGCCTCCTGAGCAGCACAGGAGCTTAGAGGAGGAAGCATCTCTGGGCAGTTCCTGGCAGGGCCAGGATGAGGCGGAAGTGAGCCCCCACCCATCCTGTGCCCTAGCTTTGAGCTTGGGAGAGCAGTAGCCCCCTGCTTACCCAGTGAGGTGCAAGGAAGAGCTGACCAAAGCACTGGGGAACAGGATTAGCACTTCTCAGGCAGTCATGGCCCCCAGTGCGAGAGGCTTGCCATCACCCATGGGCTCAGCCCTTTCTGGAGTCCCACCCTTTGCTCCTCAACACAGACTTCTCAGCCAACCTCAAACACTTCCATGGGCCAAGCCAGGCTCAAGGCCAGACCAAGGTCACCATGCTCTGTCCTATGTCCTAGGCTAACTGGAGTCAGAGCTGGGCCAGCAGGCTTTATATTCATTTTGCTTCATGAATTTCTTGTCAGTTTTCTTTTGATTTTAAGTTTAGACCAAATAACTTCAGAGTCATCCCTTACCCCACTTCTCTAGAGACCCTCCAGCTGAAAACAGCCTGAGTTCAGGGACCCAGTGGTGAACAGTGTATTCTTGGGAGTGAGGGAGCTCTAGCCACATTAGGGCTCCTGGCTGAGTCTTCCATGTGGTGCCTCCAGCCCTGAGCTTTTTCCTCTTCTCTTTGGGTGGGAGACAGAGAATTGGGCCCTAGGTTTTAGTTTCAGCAAGTCAGGCTGAGCACCTGAGTGGAGGAGACCCCTGGGCTCCAGCTCACCCAGGGAGGGAGTGGGGCCATATAAGACTCCCTGTTCTTTTACCCCACCCCCAACTCTCAGCACTTAAGCCACACGACACAAAGTCTGTACCGCCTGGGAATTGTGCACGACCCTGGCCTCATGCATGGCCTCTTGGGCCATGGGCAGCTGCATCTGTGAGGTGACTCGAAAGTAGGTGATTCCTCTGCAGAACTTCAGGGACTGGGAGCAAAGCCCCCTCACTCAACGATGTCTTTGCGACATAGTATTGTACCCACCTTAGTATTGTATCAAGCCTTTTCTGTATTTTAATGAGAAAGCAAAACACTAGTTTCCTATTTAAGATTTTAAGGGTTTGTGGGGCGGGATGGGGTTGACACAACACTTAGTTTTGTTTTCTTTTCCTTTGATTCCATGTTGGGTGCGTGCTTGTGTGTGTGTATGTATGGAGATGTTAAGAGCCTCACAAGGAAATTAGGCCGTAGGAGGCCAAGGCGGCTTACAGTTCTCTGCTTTAGTCACTTAATTCCTGAATGTTTCGGAGAAACAGGAAACAGAAAATAGCAGATGTCAATGTCCTGTAGGAAAGAAGAAAAAAAAGAAAAAAAGAAAAAAAAAAAAAGGAAAGCTCATACCCAAATTCACAAAACCTATTTTTTAAACCAAAGCACATTTTGAATGAGTATGGAACCTCAATGGGCTCAGAAAAAAAAAAAGATGCTAATATATTTATCTCATTGTTTACATAAACTTTTACAGTTTCAGACCTCAACAGCTGTAAGGCCAGTCCCAGGGAATCCTCATCTTTTGCTGGGGGTCCTTCTGAGTTAGCCCTGGAATGGCTCATGGGCAGAGAAGGGCTGGAGAAGGGGCTGGAAGCCTCTGTGGGATCCACCTGAGCCTTCATCCTCATCCCTGGGGGCTCTCCAAGCCCAGCTGGCACCAAAGAGCTTAGGCCAGTGCTGATCAGCTCCTGAGGCCTCCTGGCCAGCAGCAGGTGGCAATCAGCTCTGGTGACAGGACCTAAGTCTGGGTTTGGGCCCCAGGGTGGAGGTGAGCTCCCCCTCCTATTCTGCCAGTGATACTCAGCGGGTGAATTGATGTGAAGGTTTCACTCAAGCCAAAAAAGCAGAGACCTTTGCACAGCTCAGTTGACTCCACTGGGCTTCCACCCCCCCACCCCATGCAGGGGAAGAGGCTTACTGAGCCTGATCCTTACAACACAGACGGTGCAAACACTCTTAACAGTGTTGTTTTTGTATCAATATGTTTGTGCAGTGATGAATGTATTTATTTCTCAGACTTGGGGTGAATGGGCAAGTGGCAGGCCGGGCTCTGCCACTGCTCAATCCCACTGGACCGAGCCACAGCAAGGGCTCCTTCAGGATTGCAAAAAAGGAAAAAAGAAGTGATGAACCTTTAAGCAAATAAGAATCTCAGAGACTTGCAGCATAGCCATACACCTCAGCCTGTGAAATGAGCACTCTGGACCCAGATTAACTCCCGATTTCATACAGCCGGGGGTGTGTTTCCTGTCCGACACCACTGGGGGGCAGTGGGCCATTTGCCTGATGCCCCCAAACTGTCAGTATTCACTGGACTTCAGGCCCCTGTGCAGGAGTGCGATCTGGCTGGGTTTGCAGGCAGGCAGACCCCTGCCCCCTCCTGTGGCCAGCCTGATTGATGATGGGAGTGGAGGGGAGCTGGCCTGGGCATCCAGAAGGGCAGGGCTCAGGGAACACTTGCTGCATCCGTCCTGCCCCCAGATTTGGGGGACAAAAGTTATAAGCACCAGGCCTGAGAATAACAGGGGTGCTCAGCCCTGCCATGCCCTACTGAAGGGACCAAGGTTGTCCTGTTCCCCAGAGTCACATTGGGGCCATTGTTATTGAACCTGTGAATTGGATGCCAGGAATGAGGGAATGGAGAGGGACCTAACCAGAGCCTCAATCTGACATTCCAAACTGGGTATGGTAGGAGCTGTGGGAATTGAGGCTGCCCAGGACCCCCCCTTCCTAGGATGCCCCCAGCTTCAGTCACCCCAGTTTAATTTTCTACCAGGAACCCCTCCCCCTACCTCACCTTGCTATTTATTGCTGTAATTTATTGACCTCAAGAATGCTGCATAACAGACCTCACTTGGGGGCAGGGAGGATCCCCAGGGCTCCCCCCCCCTCCACTTGGTGGGGCCCTGTGGGGCCAGGTGCTGAGGGGATCCTCTCTACCCCACCCATCATTTGCTTCCCCCCAGGGTCCCCAGGTTGGGCTCTGGCCCATTCACAAATACCTCGAGGGGAGGGGAAGAGATGGGGTTATAGCTGTTTTAATTGGAACCGGAAGAGGGATCATGTCCTAGTTTATACCCTTCCCAGAGAGGGGGAGGGACACCGGGATCGCACTCCTGTACTGGCCACCGCCGTTGTCACTCATCATTGAGTTCACTTCTCTCTAGAGTTTGGATAAATTCAGGTCAGTGCTGCAGGTATGCAGCCCTCCAGTGTCATAGAAAAGCGATTCGCCGATGACTGATCTCTCCAGAAGCGTGCAGTCTTAATGTACAGTGATGAGAAACTGTTATTTTATGATCTTTTCATTAAAAGCTTGATTGAAAATTATCTGGCATGAGCCTTTGTGCTTTATGTGACCATTCTTTGGTAAGGTGACAAAAGAGTTCCAAGGTCCTAGGAGGGTAAGACCTGGGATGGGTATCTGTTTACCCCCTTCCAGCTTGGGCTTGAGCCAGGGAACTAACCATTCAGTGTCAACAATATAGACAACGTTGTCCTGAGCAGGTAGAAGCCATCCAGGAAAGAGCAGATGTGTGGACAATTAAAAGTGGGCGTGGACCTGGTGGTTGGGATGAGGAGGAGGTCTGGCCAGTGCCCATGGCCCCTGTTCAGCAGTAGGGGTTGAGCCAATGAAGAGCTGGGACAAGGGGAGTGCTTTGTTCTGCCATTGCTTCTATCTGCTACTTGGTCTGAAGAGCAAGGAAAAGAGGATAGTATTTGTCTACTGGGGCCACTGGGGTCGAAATCCTTGAATGAAGACTCAGCAGGAGGAACTTGGATGGTCCCAGGAAGGTGATTGCCAACAGAGACCCTTGAGTGGACAGCAGACATCCAGGGCAGCAGCAGATGAGCCTCATGACCCTAGACCTCAAAAAAGAATGTTTATGGGGCTGGGGTTGTGGCTCAATGGTAGAGCGCTTGCCTCACATGTGTGAGGCACTGGGTTCAATTCTCAGCACCATATATAAATAAATGAATCAAATAAAGGTTCATCAACTCAAAAAATATTTTAAAAAAAGAATGTTTATGTTGTTAATTTAAATATTAGTAGGTTCTGTTCAATTGTTTATTTTTTTGTTTATTTTTATCAAAGTAACTCCTGAACACAGTTTAATTGAATGGTGCTTAAGGAAAAAAGTCTATGCTGGGCACAGTGGTGCACACACCTGCAATTCCAATGACTCAGGAGGCTGAGGCAGGAGGATTATAAGTTTGAGGCCAGCCTTGGCAATTTAGCCAGACCCTGTCTGGGAAAAAAAAAAAAAAAAGTACAAAGGGCTGGGGGTGTAGATCAGTGGTAGAATACCCCTGGATTCAATCTAAAGTACCAAGGTTTGATGTTCCTCTCAACCCATCCCATTTTGTATAATCAACACTTTTAATTCAGCACTTTCTTTTGCCTTTGTCTCCACATTTCTAAATACTACTAAATGTCTCTTTCATTTAGAGAATACATGCAAGGTGCATTTTGCCAAATCATACTCATTATCACCTTGTAAGCTTGTTTACTGCTGAGCCAGGGTCTTCACATCCTTTTTTTTTTTTTTTTTTTTTTGGTAAATGGACAGAATGGCTTTATTTTGTTTATTTTTTATGTGGTGCTGAGGCTCAAACCCAGTGCCTCACATATGCTAGGCAAGTGCTCTGCCACTGAACTAACATCACAGTCCCTTTAATCTTTTTTTGTGCAACTTATTTTTGTTGAGGTTAATAATCTGATTGGCTCACTTTTGAAGGGGAGTGCTGGGGATTAAACATAAGATTTCATGGGTTCTAGGCAAGCACTGTACCACTGAGCTACTTTCCGAGGCCTCAGTTGCTCACTTTGATTTGTTTCCCTTCCATCACATTTTGGCTTTGTGAAATGCCTCCAGTACAGCTTTCTATGCAGACACTCTATTCTGTTTTTTTCTGGAAGCCTGTGGGTATCCTGGACAGGTATGGGCCAGAGGTCTTCCTGCCTTTGTTCCTACATTGAAAGCCCTGTTTTGTGGGTTCTGTGTGTGCTCTTTCCTGCATGCTTGTCTTGGTAGCTCATTTCCTTTAGTACCATCCTGAGGAAGACTACATGGAAAGTAGGTTTTTTTGAGATGTTGAATGTTGAAAATGCTTTTAAGCTATATGAATTTGATAGTTTGCAAATCAAATTGTAGATAGGAATATTTGAAGGTATCCTCATGTCTTTCTAAAAGGGCATTTACTAAGCTGTACAGCAAAAGTAGGAAGCTTTTGAATGGCTCTTTGCCAAAACAACCTGTTTGGTGTTTTTTTTTTTTTTTTTAAGGTGGTGTCATTGGGCTGGGGATGTGGCTCAAGCGGTAGCGTGCTCGCCTGGCATACGTGCGGCCCGGGTTCGATCCTCAGCACCACATACCAACAAAGATGTTGTGTCCGCCGAGAACTAAAAAAATAAAATTTAAAATTTAAAAAAAAAAAAAAGGTGGTGTCATTAAAAGTTCTCAGGTACTGCCTGGCATGGTGGCACACATCTGTAATCATAGGTACTTGAGATGCTAAGGCAAGAATTCTGAAAGTTTAAGGTCAGGCTGGGCAATTTACTGAAACCCTGTCTCAAAATGAAAAAAAGGACTGGGGCCAGTGCAGTGGTGCAGCCCATAACCCCAGTGACTCAGGAGGCTCAGAAAGGTGAATCACAAGTTTGAGGCCAATCTCAGCAATCTGGATTCAGTCTAACAAAAGGCTGGTGGCAGAGTGCTTGCCTGGCATGTGTGAGGCACTGGGTTTGATCCTTAGCACCACATAAAAAAAAAAAAAAAAAAAAAAAAAAAAACAAAGGCATGCTGTCCATCTACAACAACAAGAGGACTGGGGAGGTAACTAGGTAGTAAAGAACCCCTAGGTTCACTCCCCAGTATTAAAAAAAAAAAAAAGGGAATGTAGCTCAGAGACAACGATCTTGGGTTCAATCTCCAATGCCATCAAGGAAGAACAAAAATGTTCTCAGGTGTTGGGCTACAAATTACTGCTGATGATTATGGGTGCTGTACCCTCCTCCATCGCTTCTTAGATAATATATGACATCCACACTGATCACCTTTCCAAAATCTAATTAAGAAAGTGTGGGTGTGTACAAGACTTATACTCTAGCAGCCTGGACTCTTGTCCTGTAGCCCTTGCCTCGGCACCTAGTCATGCTGCCTGACAACCTATCCTCAGCCCAAGCCTAGGGAAGAAAGGAGCCATCTGGGAGGCACAGGAAGCTCCCACAGACCAGGAAATTGCACAGAAGGGGGAGGTCACCAATTAATAGCATGGGGACCAGGACTGAGGAAGAATGATGGTCAGGCCAAGGGGAATTCAGGTGGAGGCAGTATTGTAGGTTGCAGGTTCCCCAAGAGACCAGAAAGCCTGCATGCCCTAGATTACCCAGGGCATGCAGAAGCTAATTCCTTAAGATGAGCTCTGGGGGCTGGGGTTGTGGCTCAGTGGTAGAGCGCTTACCTAGCACATACAAGGTAAAGAACCCCTGGGGGGCTGGAGATATGGCTCAAGTGGTAGCCCGCTCGCCTGGCATGCGTGCGGCCCGGGTTCGATCCTCAGCACCACATACAAAGATGTTGTGTCCGCCGAAAAAACTAAAAAATAAATAAAATTCATTCTCTCTCTCTCTCTCTTAAAAAAAAAAAATAAATAAATAAAGTAAAGAACCCCTGGGTTCAGTCCCCAATATTTAAAAAAAAAAAAAGATCCTCACCACCACATAAAAATAAATAAATAAATTAAAGTTAATGTGTCCTACTACAATTTAAAAAATGATGAACTCTGAGCGGGTGTGGTGGTGATCCCAGCAACTCAGGAGGCTGAGGCAGGACAATTGCAAAGTTAAGGCTAGTCTCAGCAACTAAGCAAGGCACTCAGCAACTTGTCTCAAAAAATAAAAAGGGCCAGGGACATGCCTCAGTGATTAAGCACCCTTTGGGTTCAGTTTTTACTCCAAAAAAAAAAAAAAAAAGTGAGGGGTTGGGGGCTCTGGCCTATAGAAATCAGACCAGTGGGGAGGGCTAGGGCAGATCCTCAGGACTGTCTAGGACCTTGGCAGACATTGTTGATATGCAGGAGTCTAGTCTGCCCTGGGGACTTGGGCTGTTCTCAGCACTGAATGGCTGCTTATTGTGCAGGAAGCACAGCTATCCAGTCAGAAAGAAAGCTGTTGTGCTGTTGAGAGCCCTGCCCTGGGCCACTGGTCTAGTGGAATAGCTTGTGTGTTCCTTGACCCAGCTGCTATGAGTCTTCTTGAGAAATTTAGGAAAATGTCAGCCATGAACAGTTTGGGGATTAATCTATTTCACGTTCAGCTCCTCTTTTTAGTCACAAGGAACAAAGCTGATCATGCCTGGTATGAGATTAGGGCCAGTACCAATCATTGCTGACCTGTTAGGAGGCTGTGCATCTAAGTCATTTCAGAGGAGCAGCATCTTTATGTGTATTGTGTTCTGAGTCCTGAAGTTGCACAGATGTGGTTCCTTATTTCTTGGATCCTGTTTCCATAGGAGAGCCAGGTAGATGAGGATAACAACAATGGGAATAAACACGACCAGACCTCACCTTATCAAGCCCCTCCTTCAGATGTTTAACAGTATGAGCTCATTTGCTTGACTCAATGCTCAGAGGTATGGTCTGTGTTTCACCCCCCCAGTTTGCTGGTGTCACCTAGTCAGAGAGTCACTGCCTGGGATCGGCACTCAGTTGTTCCTCATCTGGGAGGGTCTAACCTGATACAGTGGCAGTGGGAATGATGTGCTGGGGTAAAAACATTGAATTCAAAGGTGGGGTGGCTTGTCTGGCTCTTGCTGGAAGCTTACCTGTGGTCAGAGAAATGGTGAGGGGCTGCAATTGAGACACATGCCAGGCACCATCCAGGTCATGAAGGACCTTAAAGGCCAAATCATAGCAGGATTTGATAGGGAGGAAGGAGTCAGATTCACCTTCTTCTCACTACAGGACATCCCCAGGGGATTCCGTCGAAAGATGGTTCTCACCCTGATGCTTAGTAAGGCCACCAGGAACCTACAGTAGTTACTGCAGGTAGAGACTTTGATTAAGCACCCTTTGGGTTCAGTTTCTACTACCAAAAAAAAAAAAAAAAGTGCAGGCAGGTGTGACCCTGCATCTGAGTTGGCAGGGAGGTGATTGTTTCCATCTTAGCCTGGCCTTTGTTGGTATTCTCACAGAAGCATTCTCTAGGCCATGGTATGTGTGCCTCCCAGGAAGCAGGGCAGCACTGTTCTCAGATCCCCTACCCCTATTCTTCCTACCCTGCTTGTACCAGAGCACTATAGCAAACCTGAGGTCTCACCTTCGTGTGT